TCAAATAATCGTATTGATTGATTGCATCAAGATTTTCAAAGTGATTACTGCAAGTTTAGGCCTGTGAAGTTTTTGAACTGATATAAGTAATTCTTATTTTTGGTAGTTCTAATACCATAAGTATTTCAGATCTTTTATATGAGGGAACACCTTCAGTCAATCATGGATATATGTTGAAAAAGAATCATTCAAGATGAATTTTCTTGCAAAGAAAAATAAACTTCAGCACACTTTCTTATTGTATACTGTATCAACCGAGTAAAATAGATTGGTATTTAACATATTCAGTTTAAAATCATTATTCATGTTCGAATGAATTATTGTTTCAGAAGCGAAACGCATTTTTTTTTCATTTCGTTTAGGTGCACTTGTTTGCATGACATATTTTCAACAATTAAAAGCTGTTTAAAAAAATCTACTAATCCTATTTCTTTCAATTATGAATTTATTTGAATATAATCTCTGAAAATTTAGTATTGATGCATTTTTGTAAGAGTTAGAAAGGTTAGTATGTAAGTTAATTGTAAAATAGTTTTCTTGAATAATGTCTATGTTGATCAAAGATAGTTTATTGTTCATCGTAGTTTTCCAAGACGCTTTTGGTGTCGTACGACTGAAGCAAGCTGATTTGGATTAAACATCTTGCTCAATTGTGTGAACATAGCAAACATGCCGATTGCATGCAGAGGAATTAGAGCGGCGGCTGTAGCCACCGTCATTATAGTCACAGGTTGTTTACATGCTTCTTCCTATAAATAAAATCAGTTTAAGAAAAAAAGATATCAACATTAGAAATGAAATGAAAAGGTGTACAAAAGCTTTTGCATCCATGATTGACACATCAGGAACTGCAGAAGTTGTTGTTGCTGTAGTAGTGGTTGTAGCACCTGAAATATATGGATTCATTGCTATATGATTTATTAAATCAAATAGTCAAATATTACTGGATGTAGTAGTTGAAGTTGTCGTAGATTCAGTAGTAGTTGTGATTGTAACAGTAGTAGTAGAAGTAACATGAAGACCAGTAGTCGTTAACTTTAAAAAAGAGAAATTATATGTTAGCATATGATTACCTATGAGATAAAATTTCTTAGAATTCGTTGTGTTCGCACATAGGTTTCATAGTCACTGGTACACTCCTTAACGTCTATTGATTTACAGAAACTTCTCAAAGAAAAACTCGATTCTTTCAACAGATTTTTATCTCAATGGGACAGCAATCATTATTCTGATTGAAACTGGCAGGGAATACAGTTAATTATTAAGGTTGTATTAGGAGAAATCCAACGAAAAAAAGTTATCTTTTTGCTATGGTATCCTCTTCTATCATAACCAAAAAGCGTATTAAAAATTGATGTCCGAAATTGGTGAACATTGTGAAGTGTCCTTTCGCTAAAAATAAGTTATGGAGTTCTACCAATGTATTAACAGTCGTTGTTGATAATGGTCGAGTTGTTACAGTTCCTGTTGTTGGAGGCGTGGTAGTAGTTGTGGTTGTGCTTGATACACCGGGATCCCATATATTGAAAGTCCAAAATGTTGAATCAGTTATTGGAGCTGATTCAGGCCCTTTATATATGAAAAATTCAAAAATTGTCACATCTGAGAAGCTATATATGAAAAAAAAAGAAAGAACGTACCACAAAATTCGACTCCACTCGCTACTCCTGGAAAAAGATAAAATTACTATATGAAAAAAAGTTTTCAGCTATATATAGTTATTTGTATATTTACCACTATCAAAAAGAACATAATAACTACGTCCTGGAATCCACGCATAATTCGTTATGATAATGATTGTAGTTCCAGTATACAATATATTTGATTGCCATCCAGCATCAAATATTTGTACTGATGTATTAGTTGTAGCATCCATAAACTTTATGTAGGTTCCATTTCGAGTTGGACGATGAACATCACGAGTTGCTATAAATAGATAAACAAGACTTTTTGCCTCCATTCTACACATAGTTTATGACTAATAATACTATGATCCTTTTCCAATGACAAATTGTTTATTACAAGCAATAGAAATCTGTTGAAGAAAAAAAAAATGTTGTTTTTTTTTATATTTACCTTGTATAGAAAATATTGAGTGATTTGAAAATATAGTTCCAATTGGTGAAGCAGTGCCTTGAACAACTGTTGCTCGGATAAGATTCGGTGAGTCAAATCCTACTAAATAGGTGATACACCAAGCATCTGATTGTAAATTATTGCTATCAACAGCACCAGCACAAAAACCTTGTGGACCATATTGGTTATCCGTTGGAGTCCAACTAAGTGTCATAACATAAAGTCCTAAAAAGAAAAATTTGTTACTAATTGTTTAGCAATATGAAAGACTGCAGAACGTACCACCTCCTTGACTGACAACCGTACTATGTTGCATTCCAATAGGTGAACTTGTTACATAATTACTAATAGTCGTTCCACTACAGAAAGATTGTGCAATGACCCGTTCAGTAAGTGTTACGTCTAGTTTAACAAAATAATTAATATTGCTACATGATTAATTGTCTGATGAATTTCATTAATATCTATCTCAAATTTTACTTTCAGGCCAAAAATTAAAGATTTATTATATCGTTCTCTTTATAATTATGTAATAC